CTTTTCAGGTTCTTAGGGGATTTGAAAGAGATGATGGGACTGTGTTGGCCGATGCGAATTAGGTGGCCAATGTATAAAACAAGAGAGTCGTGGGGCATGGAAATTGTGAATCTATTTTTAATTATCATGTTTTTTTCTTCTTTTGGATTTTTTTTATTAACACATATAAATACATGCGTAACGTACATGCATAGCTTTGACTAGTAACATACGGAATCCCGCAAAATTTATCCAATCGCACAATCATTTTGTTCCGCAATTTTTTCATTCCACCGAAAATAAATCATTCCGCATATTAGTGTCATTCCGCATTGCGCAATGTTACCAGTTACAAGTACTCTATATATGAGTACTTGTTATTGTGTGATTGTCTATATATGGTTGGTTGATACTTGATATAAGAAGAGGTATAGGCTGTTTTCTAAACCCACAGATATTTGTTTATAAGAAGACCTCTCTAATTCTTCTTCACCCATAGAAATAAAAATTACTTCCTCTCTTCTTTCTTTCCAACTTTTGATCTCTCTATGGTTTCATGGTTTTACCATTTATGAAAAATGTTAATTAAAATTGCTTTTCTTCTTCTTTCCTATATATGACAGTCACATCCCTATTCTCCAGTGTGGCCCAGCTCCAATGTGCCCATCTTTCTATATGCACAAATTCCACCACCCACACTATACATAAACATATACGAGGAAAAAGTGGGAATATACATATACACCTAATAGGGAATCTCATTTACTTGAATGCAATTAATTTGGTACTAATTCCAAATTAAGAAACAGAGTTTACGCACTAAACAACGTATCATGGGTTTGACTACTCCCGGTTTGATATTGTCAATCATGGTTGTTGCATTGTTGAATTTTACAGCTGCCCCAACTTTACTTGTCTTTGTCAATGTATGTAGTTAGGCATGATATATTGTTATGCTACAACATAAGTTTATATAAAATTTTCAACCTCCATCTTATGTGTATATACGTAATGTGACTTATTGCAAAGCCAAACAAAAAAATCCATAACAAGCCAAGAAGAATTCAAGTCAATAATGAGCCGCACCAAACTCCACCTCATCCACGTTTTTTTCATAGACTTTTGGCCCTCCAATTCCATCTACAACTCAATATACTTACTATATTAAAAGACTAGTAACAAATCATATAGACCACAACTTATATACATGGATTTGAAGGACAGAGATGCTAACTACTACATGGTCACGACACTAAATATCTACAATCCAATATTAGTTGATGACTTGCATTCATTGCCAACTTTTTTGCAGATACTTATATAAGTGTATATATATCTGCAAGTGGAAACAAATAAAAGTCGAAATGCAAGAGATCAGCTTTAAGAACCAAGGCATACGCAGTGCTACACAAAACATAAATCACTTGCGGTTGTCGTCGGGACAAAACACCAATGATGAGATTTGATGTTTTGGTCTCTCAATGAACGTATCATGTTCATATGTGATCATTTCACTTTTTTATATACTCCTTGCTTATTTCAATATTATACTCATGACAATCTTATCTAAAACACACAACAGCAAAACGAAATGAATATAGATTATGGTATCTACTGCTGATATGGAGATGTCGGTAATAACACATTCATATTGTTTTCTGACTTTCAAAATTTAGAAAAGGTAAAAGATTGATGAAAGTG